AATATTGGCAACACAGAGGTTGAACGCGATGGGAGATGATCCCGCTTTTTGAAGTCACAGTTATTTGGTATGCCACTGTGGAACCTCCTTGCCAGGAATCAAAAAATAACTCCGCCGTTAACTCTTATAGTGGCTCTATATTCGGAATGCAGAGGGTGGAACTACTGAGTACCATCAAGTTTTTAATCGCCTTTGCGCACGAAAAAAAATATGTTCAAGTTATTTAAACACACATTTTATTCCGTGCTCTCATATATAACATATGTTGAAGGTGACAGGCTTTGTACGATGACAAGAGGTCATAGTGATAAGGCTGACTGTGAAAGGCACTCAGTGGATTTACTTTTCCATTAAGGTCTACTGATGTCTTTTAAGTAGGTTGAATTAGACTACCTGAGTTGCATTCATAGGGTCTTGGATAATTTGTCTTGCAGTATGACGAGTCTGTAGCTCCAAAGGTACTCATAAGCCTTTACTAATCTAACGCCGTAGAAAGATTCCGAGCGCTAAACATAAAGAGTTAAATCTTTATCAATATCTTTTTTTTAATGTAAGTGCTCTGTTCTATCATGTGCAAAATTTGTAGACGATTATTTGACAAGCGTACTCGTCGCATGTTTCGTCTTCATGAATTCTCCGACTGAATCCAGCAGTCATTTGTAGGTCAAATCCAATGAAAACAACTATCAAGGCAGCACGGTACTATTAAGCCAAATACTAAACGATAAACAATGTACAAAGCCTAACAATGGATACACACAGTCAAGAAGGAACAGACTCAACCAAATTGAGTGATTCTGCACAAAGGAACAAAATCCATTCGTCATTAATGCCACTCATGGCAAAACCAACCTTACAATAACGTGCATATGGTAGAAAGAGAGGCGAGGACTGTCAATTATGTGATTTCAGGAGGCCAGTCCTGTGGAAAAGCATTGATCTGAAACACTAGCGCGACGTTAACAGAGAAAACAGTGTCGGAAAGGCGGGAAAATCTGTTAGCGTTTGAGGTCAGCGGTGGTGACAGCTGTAATCGAAACAGAAGGGGAAGGGGGATGCTACATCGCGCAGCTCTTGAAACAGCTGTCTCTTGATACAGTGGGAAGATGCACTGTGGGAAAATGTCATTAAAAGGCAAGGCAGCGAAGCTGGTGGTGGGGACAGTATTCAAGTACCGTTTGAGTACCGTGCGAGTAG